TTATAATATTATAGTCTAATATAGCCATTAACTGAAGCAGTAATTAATTATTCACTGTTACAATGTGTTGACAATTTGTTCGGCCAAAAACCGCTTGAAAATTTGAAATACTTTTGTTTTACAACTCGAAGACGAAGTGAAAGAAATTATTTTAGTACCTCTATATTTCACAGGAATGCTCAGATATATTATACAGATGTTTGGTACTATAGTAAGTGCTTGTTGACTGCAAATTCATTTGTCGTTCATTGCAAACTTTTCTGAACAATTTATATTCTCAGTGAACATGTTTTTTCGTTGTTGTTTCGGTATTAATTCTTTAAAAAACTTGTATTTAAACTAATTTCTACGTAATAAATGTGGTTTGCTAACCTGTCAAATTTTTTTGAGAGTTTTTCCTTGTACTCTTATGTTTCTCAAAGCGAATATTTTCCTTTTTCTGCTTCGCAAAACTCATGTAGTTTTTGGACCGCCTTCTTGTTTTTCGCTACTCGCCGTATATGAGCTGATATACGGCGAGTAATTCAACCAATCAGATTGCAGAACAGCTCATATACGGTGGATGACTATATTATAATTGCAATTATATAGCGCAAGAGAAGTCATCCACATGTTGTACTTTGACTTTGTTGTATTATTGTAAAAGATAAAACCGATATCGGTTTTAACTAAGAGGAGCAATAATAGACAATTCGCGACAGAAAACAAACATACACGTTCTGAGTTAGTTCATTATTTAATGTACACAAGAAACAGTAGAGGACCAACGATAAAGTGTTTATAACGACAATTCTTCACTCACCAATAATTTTAGAGATAATTATTGACATTGCAAAATTTATAATGACAACAATAGGGTCAATACAGACAATAGCTTTATAGCACAACTGGGTTTGACATACTGCTAAAAAGGAACTTTCAAAATTATTGACGAGATCACTGCTGTGATGCTTTCTCTACTCTTTCAGTTACCTGGCTTTATGACAGTTCGACCTTATTTATTACCTAAACTATAAAGGCTGTTTAAAATACTCTTTGTTTTAATATACACTTGCTATTTTTAGTCAATTAATAAGTGCTCAATCATGCCATCCCTTGCTATCCCTACTGAGTATAGCACGTGGTCATGACTCACGTGACCACACCATACCAGCAAAGATTAGGTACTATAAAGATGTGCAACTCGACGTATTTCGCTAATGTTTGCGTGTCCGTAATTTTCCGTGCTGATCACGAGTGATCACGCGAGATGACGAGTGCATAACACTTACTGCCAAAATGGCGGCGAGACTGAATACAATAGGTTGCCATCGCGATGTTCGCATGCACTATATGACGAATTTGACACTTACAGGCAAAATGGCGGCTATAAAAAAATCTCGGACATAATTTTCGCAGAGTGGCACATCTTTATAGTACCTAATCTTTGATACTAGGGTCTCTACGGAGCAGGGGGTGAGCGGAGGTGAGACACTGGGATTCTTATTTGTTTGTATAATGGTAAATTTACAGATACAACTTTTACCATGTTTCACGAGGGCAGACAGTACTCCAAAAATGGCGGATTTTGGCCTTCGTGAGAAAGGCTAATTGTCTCCTAAATTTTAATTTTTTAGATGACGCCACATTTGATGGGAAGAAGGAATGTTACAGGCTGCTTGTAAAGCTAATATCTTTATCACAGGATAGCAAGGTATGTTTCCGTAAATTTGAGAACTTACTATTGTAAAAGTCACTGCTGTTTAAAGAAATATAACAATAAAAATTAAATTTTGAATAATTTGATAGAACTTTTAAAATTAAAATTAATTTTTCTGAAATACTTTTACTGAAAACAATGAGCTGTCCTCCATCTTGGATTAGCAGTTTTTGATCTCATTAATGAAATTTGAATGAGTTTGGAATCGGTTATTGCGTCAGTGAGGTTAGGGGTTAGTGTTGGGGTTTGAGTTAGAGTTTAAATATATCTCGAGTGTTGATATAACTGTATATGAATGCGGAAAAATGTTTCTATTTTTTTATAATATAGCACAAAGAAATATAAAGAAAGAAATTTTCCGTGTTGACATTAAGTTATGTCAACACGGCTCTTAGCCAATCAACGTTCAGAATTTACAATTGCTATACAAGTTGTCTAAAAATGTCTAAAAAAACGCTATGGAAATTTAATAGGCTGTCGTGCATCATTAACTTAACTAGACAATTCAATTTTTACATAGGACGAAAGAGCTGTTATTTAGCGTTTCTATATGATACCTTTTTCAAATCGTAAGGATGAGAAATGGCCAGATACTCGCCAAATAAAAATTGCCGGTCGAAATGATATTCTTCCACCATTGTGAATTGAAACTACATTAATTATGCAAAGTTAGTTAATCTAGAAGCAACGCGAGCCTGCTGCAACCTACTTGTTTCGTAAAACGTTTTGATTACGAATGTTCTCTGTTCTCAGGGGTTAATTGAACCATGTTTAATGGACGTTCTTTTTGAGTTATTATCTCACAAGGACGAAGATTGACGAGTTGAGCTCATTTTAAATCATTTTCAAAACGTACAATTTTAATTCCCTCATTATCTTTATAAAATAACATGTATATAACGCGTGCTGTGATTGGGCGAAACCCGTGTTTGGATCAGGCCATCCAAACACGGAAATTTAAAGTGAAAGTTTTTTAAAGTGAAATTTTAACACGGAAAGTTGTTATTTTATAAAACAATTACTTACGTTAATAAGGCTTCAAAAGGTATCGGAATGATACGTCGTATGAAGAAATATGTTCCGGCAACAGTTTTAGAAAACGTTTATAAGGCTATATAGTACTGCCATTTTTTTACTTTTGCAGTTGAAAACTGTAGCGCTTAACTCCATGATAAATTACAGAAAATGCAAAATAGAGCAGCTAGAGTAATTACGGGGAAACCGTAGGATACAAGAATAAGTGATATGGTAAATAAACTTGGTTGGCAACCATTAGCTGAACGAAAGAGATCTCAGAAAAGAATATTTATGCATAAAGTTAAAAATAAGTCCCAGAAAGCATATCTAGCATGTTCCATATTAACAGAAACGACAACTACAACCTACGCAATAATGTCAATTATGCACTACCAAAACCTAAAACAGATTTCATAAAAAAAGCATAAGTTATTCAGCCGTAAGTCTATGAAATAGCCTCCCAAAAACCGCTAAAGTAAACGACGTTTCTTCTATTTGGCAATTAAAACAATTCTCTCGAGCTGATTATAATGAATAGACAAAATGTGCGAACAGTAAATAGTATCAAATTATGTCATTTGTTTGTAAATAGCTCCTGCATGTATTGTGTTAGGTTAGTTCTTTAATGTATTTTTATATATTTTTTTATTGTATTGCTGTAAACGGCCCCTTGGAAATCAGATGTTATTAGATCTGAAGGGTTACCGTTTCCAAATAAGATTAAATAATAAATAATAATAATAATAATAATAATAATAATGGTTTCCGTGTTTGGATAGCCTGATCCAAACACTTGAGAATACATGCACGCGTGATTTATTTCCTGTTGGTTGCAGAGTCTTAAAAACGCACATACTAGTAAAGAATACCGAATTGATTAAGAAGCAATTAATATGCGCGAGTTTGCTCTGTTGCTATGGCAACAATACGCATGCAAACATTCGAAAATATGGCAAATACGAGCGTTTATTTCAGAAATGAGGTTCGTGACCCCCATTTTTTAAATAGGTAATCGTTTTTATTTCTTTCAATGAAGCTTGTGTGAAGTTTAAAAAAAGTCTGTAATGCCAAATTTGCAGAATTGAAAATTGCCTTTTGATAAAATTTCGCATTGCAGATTTTTGAGATATTGTGTTATTACACTTAGCGCGTATATATCTATTTCTATTCAAAATTTCAGGGTACCTTGCCAAACTCGTTTTCTCAAAAATCAAGGTTTTGTTGGTCTACATTCGGCGCGGCTAAAGTTTTTTGCCTTCTGCAGGATCAATGAATTGACATGAGCGTACATGTATTAGCAGACGCAAGTTCACGCGACCGAACAAAACACGCAACATTTGAAGAAACGGCATGGGAATTTTATTGTTGTTCTTGATCGTGAGTTTTATATCCGTACTTCGATTCAAAGTGCAGTAAAATGTTTTTGAGAATCCTTTTATGATTCGTTACTCGTGGTTTCTTGTCACCGGATCGCATACACTTTGGTTGTTGTTGACAATAATGCACTCTTGATAATATTCCAACGACGCCAGCTTCACCGAATGTTTGGTACAAACAACAAAGGTCTTTGTAAGACAAGCCAGAACCAGTGATTTTAAACGTCATGCCGCGTGTGATTGGACTTTCACTTGCTTGTGGACAATATAGACCTCCTACAAACGTTTGGAAAAGCTCGAATCGTTTGTCTATGTAATCCAAGTCCATTCTCGCATCACGAACTGTTTGTATTTGGCTGCCGTTGACTATAGTTCTGATGTCAATTGCTAGTTCAGGACTGAATAATATCTTTCGAAGAGCTTTGACATCCTCTAAGGCATCGTGGACGTTGAACTCGTCTTTAAACAAGCACTGATAATCACTACTTATATTTGCACGACAGTAATCTCCATTTGTCAACTTCAGAGGGGCATGCTGGCTTTGAATTAAAGACTTGATAAGTGGTAAGCTGTCACCAAAATTGACATTGATCTGATCCAGCTGTTCATCGTATAATTTCCCCGAATTTCGTAAAAGTACTGGAACGTCAAAGACAGCTGCATTGTGGCTAATAAGAACTTTTATTTTTTTTCTTGCGGTCCGAAATCATATTTTACGCTTTTCTGCAATCTGATTGGCTACGCGAGCGGTCCGTATGAGCCCGTACGGACCGCGCGAAATTTAAAGCCGTAAAGGCAATGTTTTTATTTTTGAAAATTTAAAGGCGAGCTTATTTAAGGCTACTTTTTAACATTAAAATGTCTGCAGACGACGAAGAACACAGTGAAAGTGAATTTTACATTGATAGAAACGACGTTTTAGCGCCTAGAAGAGCAGTGGAGGGCCAAATTTGTCTAACTTCACCCGAAGAGTTGGGTGAAATTCAAAGTTTTATCGAAAGGCAGCGCCCAGACAACACGAAAAAAAAGACGATGTACGACATAAATGTTATTAAAAGGTACTTTGAATCAATATACGAGACAAGAGAAATTGAAAACATACCTGCCAAAGAATTAAATGTCCAGCTCGCGAAATTTTTCATGAATGTACGCAAGAGAAATGGCAGCGTTTATGAACCTACTTCTCTCAAGGACTTCCAGAGAAGTTTGCAGAGATATTTGAACGACAAGAATTCTACAATGAATATCCTACAAGACCAGGTGTTTGCCAAATCCCGTGAAGTTCTTATAGCGAAGAAACGAGAGCTTGTCCAACAACACGCCAAAGGAAACCGACCACAAGCTTGTCGAGAGTTGACGACGGCGGAGGAAGACAAGTTCTTCGAGTTGGGTTTGTTCGGAAAACACGACCCAGAAGTTCTCCAGAGGACCGTTTGGTGGGTTCTTTCTCTTCATTTCGGCTTTCGAGCGCGTGACGAGTCGAGAAAACTAAAGTGGGGAGACGTATCCATCAGTAAAGACCCCGAAACAGGCAGCGAATTGTTGTTGTGGAAAGCTGAACGAGGTTCAAAGACCAGGCACGGCGACGGGCAACATCAGAGAGCCTTTTATCCCACAGCGCAAGCAACCCACAACGAACGTTGTCCTGTTCAGTTATATCGTGCATTTTCCCAGCATCGACCAGATGAAATGAAACAGCCGGACTCTTCATTCTTCCTGGCTATTAACCACCGTCGCCAGCCAGGTTCTCAGATCTGGTATAACAAAGCTCCACTCGGAAAAAACGAAATTGGCAAGTTTCTTTCGAAGGCTGCGAAAGCTGCTAAATTGCCTGGGAACATCACAAACCACTCGGTGAGAAAAACCTGTATTTCCCGTTTAATGGATGCCGATATTCCCGAGAATTACGTCGCCCAACTGAGCGGTCACAAGAATTTGAAAAGCCTCGATTCTTACAAATCCGCTTCGACAGCACATCAGCGAAAAATGTCGTTCGTTTTAAGTCGTTCAGGAGCCTCGTCTTCTGCCACAAACCAAGCGCCAATTCAACCAAATGAATCACAATACAGTCTCCAACAACAAAACCTTTCCTACTCCAACCAGTCTGCAGTCGAAGGCATGTTTTCAGGGGCAACAATTCAAAAGATCGAAGGCTGTCATTTCAACTTTTTTCTCAACGCGAGCAAAAGTCCGATCAGAGCTCCAGAAGCAACTTTTGCCAAAAAAAGGCGTGTTATCTTGAGCGATGGCAGTGACTCGGACTAAATATAACCTTTTTGAGGTTTTCTGTTAGATTTGATTCCTCTATAATAAACTTCCATTGGATATTTATATATTTAAACGATTTTTTTCGCTTGAAAAATGCTTGTATTCAGAATGTTTCGTTGTTGAATTTTTTAAATAAACATGTCAGGTGACTTCCTTATTTGGCAGCTTCATTCGCGTGCGGGAGGGGAGGTTGGGGAAATTTAGAGGGGGGAATTAAAAAAATAAAACTATTATTTACCGGTATGGTCGGTCCGTATAGAGAAATATTTCTCTCGGTCTTAAAAACGTCCCTCGGCCTTCGGCCTCGGGCCGTTTTTAAGACCTCGAGAAATATTTCTCTATACGGACCTCCAATCCGGTAAATAACATATATGTATAGATTGAGTACCGCAGGAATTGATGGAACAAGCTTGTTATATAAATTTGATGAAGCTTGACAAGGCATTTTCAAGGGACATTGCTGCAACAGGAACAGAGTTTTTACACAATGATCTTGTTCCATTTACATTTTCAACGGTAAGATATATTCACTCTAGATGTCCCAGGACTTATGTTACTTTTAGGCATAATGTAAGAGGAGTACATGGAACCAGTTTGAGTGATCGCAGATAGTTGACATATTTCTGCCTTTGAACCAGTGTCTAAAGTCTCCATGTCAAATATTATAAACTGGTAGGGCATTGTTTGACTGTAAGTTTTATATACTACGTGCGCCTTTCGATACAATGTGGAACAAGCTTGTCAAATTCCTCACACTGTTTTTTAGTAATTGTTTTGAATAACTTTTCTAACTTGTGATCATTTGCATTTGATTCAATATTTGCAAGACCTTGTGTGTTTTCTGTTGACAAATTAAGACCAATACCAGTTTCATATGTTTTGCCTTCTTTAACTTCATTTTTGGTATTTTTTGTTATCCGTTCATTTTGAAGGAGATGACGTCTTACTTTGCAGGTTTTTAATGATTTGCGGTTATTATCTTTCTCCCTCCTTTTGTCTAGTTTACTGTTGTGTGCACCTAATGTGAAAGCAATATCCCTAAGGACGTTCTGGTTAAAATTGCTTCGTTATAGACTAAATAAGTATAGCCGAATTTTTCGTAAGTAACATTTTCATGGTAAAATTTTATGGTTATTCTTTGAACAGGTTTTAAGCAGAAATTCTGGATAAACTTACCAGACTATGTTAGACGGTCATACAACCAGGCATTCGCAAGGTACTGGTTTCCATGTAGCATAATTCTGGTTAATTCAACCAGGATTAAATTAAATAAACTTTACTTCGAAGTTTTGTTTATATTTTTCAGGTCTTAACCCCCTTGTTTGTTAAAGATTTTTGCACTGCTGTTTGAGATATTATTATCAATAACAAATGTTCTTATAAGACGCCATTTGTTTAGTATGATAGTCTAATGAACTACCCACGTATAAGTATTCGGCTATAAATTAGGCCATATATATACATGTATACTTCTAATATACATGTATTACTAAGTTACTGACCGAGAATGAGGGCAGCACGGGAAAATATTGCAGTCAGATTAAGTTTTTTTTATTATATGGCATTGTCGTTTTGTAAAAAACAGTGCCTTTTTTAAGGAATTTTCACTGGGGGGGGGGGGCAAAACATGAAAAAAAAGGCAGAACGAAAAATATGAGCCGTCGAGGTTTGGCGAACGCGCGAGTCTGAAGAGAGATTTTGTAAAACTTTAATTTATTAACTTCACCTATATAAACAATAACTTCAACTCTTTGTAGCTATAATCGTACAGCCATAACCAATGGTTTTAATTTGGGGGGGGCTAACCTCACGCCGAAGGCGTGAGACCGTCTAGGAGGGTCCCTGAATTGCGATTGGAGGGAAAATTTTGAAATCTAGGGTCCCTGAATTGCGATTTTAAACATTTTTGGAGTGAAATTCCGAAGAGTTCTGAAGATTATAAAGTACATCGAAGACATGAATTTTTCCAGACATTTGTACTCGGAATTAAATAAATTGAAAAACTCACCTTTAAAAATAGGAGATCTAGAAGGGGTCAGTTTCAGTGTTAAATGCAACATATCTGAACAAAATCACATTGGGATTCTCCCCATAAAGCGCGAATCTATGGTTTTCCAGTCTATTTCTCTTTATGACTTCACAAAAAGACTTACTCAACATTCAACCGAATTACAGTTTCCTGCCAAGATCAAGAGGGTTCTTTTGAGGAAACAGATTGCTTTGTTATTTATGAACAGTGGGCGAATGACGCGTGAAGCGGGAAACGCCTGGTGTGTTAATGGCTACTGTTCAATTAATCAGATAGTGAAAAAAACAACGTTGTTAGTAACAAGTTAATTACCTGCATGATATTTGCTGTGTTGGTGTAATGTACTCAGGTGAATAAGATGCTTGTGATGTTACTCAGGTGAATAAGATGCTTGTGATGTGAGCGTATATCCACATCGGGCAGGCTTGAAAAATATGCCTGGCCACGGTGGAAAACGAACCTATATGACCTTTGGAATACTAGCCCAATGCTCTGCCAACTGAGCTACGCGGTCAAGTCGGTTCGAGTATGTGATATTCGATTCCCACCGTGGCCAGGCATATTTTTCAAGCCTGCCCGGTATGGATATACGCTCAGAGTAACATCACAAGCAAGTTAATTGCCTATATTATTTGTATTAATTGTTAGTAATTAGACCTCCACATATCTAGTTATGTTATTAAAAGAGGTCAAAGGATTATTGATGATTAAGGGTAAATGATTAATTTTGGATATTAAGAGCGAGAACACGTACAGAACACTGTAGAACCAGAACGTTCCTTGTTGCCATCAAAATAATGCAATCCAAATTTCACCAATTCCGCTTATTACGTGTACATACTGCGTCACCACACTCACTCAAGAGAGACGAACAACATTTAACGCATGTACTTGTAAGGTAGACAAAAACACAACACACATAATAGCTGAACTATCTCGGCGTTTCTTTTTCTGCTGGGTTTTCGAGATAACGATCGAGGTTCTACACTCTAAATGAATTTGAGAAGAAATTCTATGTTCGAATCAAAATCATTCCGGTCATGTGACAGGAACAATATAGCCAATTACACCATTGCCGATTAAAAATATATCACTGAAACGAATGCATTTGGATACAATTACAAATTTACCTTCTCTGTATCTTGCCTATCTTCCGTAGTTGCGTGTAGGATTGTTCTGTTATTCAAATATGGCTTCCATTTTAACAAGTATTTTAAGCTGTACAGTGGGCTTACTATGGAATAAGGCGCGGGACACAACTGCATACAAGCTTAAAGACGGGGACACTACAGACGAGAAAATTCGCGAGATAGTTGTACGAGAGTTAAACGACATCAAGTCCAAGCTTGATGGTCTTTCTCGCAAAGACCTACTCAGCAGCTACGGCTTTCTAAAAGAAGGTGTGAATTTACTTAATGCCTCTCTTGACAAATCAAACGACGACGAACACAACGAAACTCAAGATCATCATGATGAACCATCAAGAATGACTGACGGTGCTGGGTTTAGCATCTTAAACCAAACCTTAGAACTCTCTCGCGCCATAGGAAAGTTAAAAACTAAATCGGATAAAGAGTTTGAATTTGCGAAGAAAAGATTCGAAGAAGCGCGTAAGACAGCAACTCATGCGTTCTTTAATGAAGCCTTGAGTATTAAAGATCGAATCTTCGCCGGAAAACTTCGTGTTTGTTCCGAGATACTGGAATGTCTCGAAAGTCCCGAAACTGCAATGACAGGGTGTGAAACGTTTCTTCAGGATCTACACAGCTTACCAGCTATCCGTGAAATATTTTCCGTGTATCTCAATGGCGGAATCAAGTCGAGGCTAAATAAAGCAGAACGACTGGACAACGTGAAATCTGTCATGATGATCAACTATGCTTTATATCAATTTCATTTCAAATTCGGCCGCAAACGTACAAATAAAGTAATTTGGCCTGGGTGATAGACTTTGCTGGTCGCCGTTTCAATCCAATTTTAAACTGGCAAGAGGTTTCGACAAGAAAATCCTGGGTCGAAGGACCAATGCAACCACGGAACGATCTGTTACTCGATGAGAACATACGTCCGTGCCATTCGGCTTTGAATGGCCACGGCGACATCGTTGCTGTAAGGTCTGAGGAAGACTTGAAAGTTGTTTCGAAAACAGGAGAAAGCAAGTTAGTTACATTAACTGACCCCACAGAAGACAAAGTTATCGAGCGTTATATTAAAGGACTTGCTATTGACAACAATAACAACGTTTATATTGTTAGGTGTCTTGAAACACGCGGGGAAAATGGCGATGGAATTAGTTACGTTTTGAATGTATTGGATGATACATACAATGAAAAAAACCGTTGCACATTGAATTTTCTGAGGGCAACAGGTAGTGGAATAAAATTAGCGATAAACAGAAACAATGACATCATCATGATCAAAAACGATGATTCCTACGTGTACGTCTGTGACAATTCTGGGGATTTGAAATTCAAGTTTGAACGAGATTCAAGTCAAGTGCCCTGGTATTCATTCAATATTTCTAACGAAAATGATATAATGATATCATCAGATGATAACCGAGCTATTGAGTTATATACCGAGAAAGGAAATGCAATGTCGGTAATAAAAGCACCAGTAGGTCACAAAGTTGTGGCGGTTGCATTTCATCATGTCATTTGTAAAATAGTTGTACTGTCGTTTAACTTTCGAAGTGATTCCTATTTCCTTCTCGGCTACTCCAAAACAGTCGAACTGGAGACCTCAACCTTCTTCAGTAAAAGGAGTTTGGGTGAACATATACCTATTATCACATCTCATCCAGGGGGTCCAATAGCTGTTGTATGGGCGAGAATAATAGTTTATATATAAGGTTAAGGACAGTGGCGAAGCTAGCCATGGAAACCGGTCATGCTATGCTATTAAACCTGCATCCTGTAAACCCCGTTTACATTAGACCGAGACGAAGTCAAACCAGAATGAAAATTGAAATTGTCAACATGTTTACATGAGACCGGTACGAAAATTACAAAATTTTCAATTTATTCCCCTTGCCAGGCAATTTTCTTTTTCATATGGCTTTCGTTAGCATGTGTTGTTCTAATGTCAAGGTTGCAGCCGAAACCGGTCTGAAATGTATTCGTGTTTACATTCATCCCGGTCTGAAGTCAGTCAGTTCGGTCCAGCAGGCAGAATGACTTGAGACCGGTCTGAGTTATTTTCGTCCCGGTCTCATGTAAACATCTATTATAAATAATACTATGACCGAAACGAAATGGTCCCGGTTTGACTTCGTTCCGGTCTCTGCATGTAAACGGTGCTTAAATAAGTTAAAGACAATCGTATACATTTCTAAAGTTTTGAATGATGCAAATTGTTAAAAATTTCCATGGCATGACCTGTTCCTATGGGTGGCTGCATGCGCCACTGGTGAAGGAGATTCTCTATTTCTATATCACTGAAATTCCCTAAAAATCTGCATTATAAAGAACAACTAGTTCAATTAATAAATTTAACCATGCATGTTTGATAGAAAATATATTGACTTGAAACAACATTATGTATAGGTTATTTTGAGGCAACGAGTCTTCGTTGGAAAAAAATGAATTAGCTGTAAACTCACGATACAAAAAAAATCGCATAAAGTGCGAGACGGCACACTAATTCATTTATCTGTTGTATTTGCATATGTTGGCCCAACCCAAATTCTGTGCAGGGGTTGTGAATATGTGACTTCCGACCTAAATACAAAAGAACTCCAAAAGTCAAGTGAGCACTCCTTAATTTAATATACAGTATTACATCATTGTTAATCGACCGGCACCAAACGCGCGCAATAGAGCTTTCTTATTATGATATATGACGTCAAACGCGGAAAGGCAGTTTATGCGATGTCTCAAGGAACGATACTTTAATAGCGGTAATTTGCAATGCAAGCTAGTGATGCTTTTTTTATGAAATTTATTGGCTTGTGCGCCTTGCATTGCGAATCGCCGCTAAAAAATTTCCTGCGGACATCGCATAAATTGGTTTTCCGCGTTTGACGTCACCATAAGAAAGGTCTAAAAAATCAGTTTAAATGCGATTTTCTCAGCAACTCACAGCAAGTATTTACCCCCTGTAATGTCACATGGGACGACTTTTAGCACAATTCCCAACGCAAATGATGTTTTTAATTAAATATATTGGCTCGCCAACTACTTGCATTGTCCTGTGGGACATCACATAAATTGGTATTCCGCGTTTGACGTCATTGTAAGAATCAAGGATCATTTAATATACAGCTATTTCAATTAAGGTTGTCATAATCAATGAATGATTCCAGCTATAAACTAAACTGTGATCAAGACAAGAAGTAAAATTAGTAAAATGTCCAATATGGTTGCGAAATGTTGTAAAATACGAAAAATATAGTTCTGTGAAATTAGTAAATTTTGAGTATTTTAGTAGCTATTATACGCGCGGAAAAATGCACTACTTTTGAGCCAAAAGCAATCAAAATTTGCTAATTTCACATGGCTATACTTTTCGTATTTTACAACATTTCGCAACCAAACTTTGCGATACTTTTTATTTAAGCTATAATGATATAGATTTCGTCTTTCTTGACTAGATCAAAAGTTAGTTGATAGCGTTAAATCATCCATGCACTGTACATCTCAACCGCAAAGAGGAAGATGCCTGGGCTAAATTTCACTTTTTTAGCTGTTTAGGTAGTGTCAGAATATATATGCTCTGATATAAGAACACTGATTTGAACTTGATTACCGTGTCAAATTATTTTGGATGTACCAAATTGTCAAAACTATTTAGGGCGAAAGTATGTCATATGTAAAGTTACCTATAACGTAGATATAATCTTGTATATATTCGAGTGAATTCTTGATAAAAATATATTTTTGTAATACTCTGAAGTTGTATGTTGTGATTCGTGATCAAGATAGAGCGACATGACCAAACTGTAGTTCCTTTTTGTTTTCGGAGGGTATACATAATTTATAATCCATTCCATGCATCTTATATAAAACAACTTACCTTATTCCCATTATACTTTTGGCACTTGGATTCTGCATGTGACTGTAAGTTGCTTGGGTGACTGAATTGAAGTAGCTCTATGCTGCGTATATAGGTAGTTGTTTATTGCTCTAATTACATTCAGTATACGTATTGACGCAAAGAAGTTTTCTCCGCTTATGCAATTGTAAAATGCAGTTGAATTAAATTAAACAAGAAAACGACAGCCGGACATTTGATGCTAATTTTTCCGCATAAATTTATTTTCAGAAAATGTTCTTTTTCCAATAAGCGTAAAAGAAAATAAACTGTGCCGGAGACTGCCTCGTCCCTCGTCGCTTCAGTTGGGAATAGAGATCAGTGGAAAAACAATGGGAGCGTGGGGCTTAATGGGAATGCGATAGAACGTATGAGGGACTGTGCAAGAGTCAGTGCCGGAGATATTTATCACAAATACAACATATTATTAAATTGAAGCCTAAGTGCCACCGATTTATTTATTTATTTATTTATTTAACTTTGCCAATAAACATTAAAACACAGAAAAAACATATATGGACAATGGCAGGGAACACGCTACAGCTTACGCCAATTACAGCGGCCCTTACATATAAGATACGACATCACAAACATTAAACTATTGTCTAATAACAACACGATACTTCACAGGACAGATTACGGGACTTGTTACAGGACAAACATATTGATTTCCATAAATTATATTTATGGAAAAATATATAAATATAAATATATTTATTAAATATTAATATATTATATTTATAATAATAAAATATTAATTATATTAATTAATTAATTAATTAATTAATTTATTTATTTATTTATTTATTTATTTATTAATTATATTATATTAATTATTAAATATTATTTATTTTTATTAATATTAATATATTATATTTATTTAATATAAATATATTTATTTATATATTTTTTTATTTATATTTTCGATTGTAAATATGCAACCATGTACATACATAATATAGTTTCCATGCCAACAGTGGACGTTTTTATCCTCGGTGACAGCAATGGTTATTCAGGAAATCCAGTTTCTATGTGCCAAAAAGTCAACATTTATGATTCACCCTTAAAATTGTTTTGTTCATTATGATGAAAAGTGTATTGTATCAGCTTCTTCTGGCACATAACTTTATCATATGAAAAATTGTTTCATCTGAAATTTTGTGACTTTTGCTGAATACATATTACGCAATAATAGTCAAACATACCTTGCCAGGCGTGGCGAAGAGGCAAAAGAAGTGGGTTTAGTATCGGGGGGGGGGGGTTGGCCAATTTTCCGGACATAACCATTTTTCACAAACGTTCCCATTAATGTATCGTTATTTGTTACCTTTATCCGTAATTTTCGTAAATTTAACAATATTTTTGCTATAGCTATAACTTTTTATTCCGTGTCACTTCTTTTATTTTCGCTGGCTACCAAGACAATTCACCGATAAATCCGAAAACAATTTGCCGAGTGCTGCCACTCAATGGATTAAATGGTTATATTGCTTTTACATTATTTTCGATATAGGACCGTACGCATGTTATTTTTCAGCCGAGTTTGCTGGACAAAACGATTAAATTGAAAAACCATGCTATGGCCACTTGCGACAAACGAGAAATTGGAAACGCTGGCTGGCCCGCCTAACATGTAATGTTGGGAGAGGCAGGGGGCGGCAACCCGGGAGAATAAAGGCGGGAGGTGGGCAGAAAGCGGGAGGAGACAGACTACATCAGCTTTTATACTAAGAATATGAAAGCGATCACGTTACAAAAACTAAACCATGCAATCAGATGGATTATATTTAGTAGCACATCAGACATTGGTAATTTCGAATAGACATTTAGTGTACCAGCGTTTGCGGGTCACATACAACAAATCCCAGTTGCATTAGCATAATAGCTATAAAAATTATTTACTCTTGAACACATAGATAGTTTTAATACTTTAAGACTAATAGTTCGCCTTACATATAAATCACTTTTCTCGCCAGTACAACGGCAATTGGAACAACACTTCGATGAGAGGTGATGTAAGGGCGAAGATCTAGCTGTGAAGTTCTTTTACTGAAGAAGGTTAAGGTCTGTAGTTCACCTGTTTTGGAGTAGCAGAGAAGGAAATAGGAATCACTTTGATAGTTAAACGACAGTACAACTATTTTACAAATAACATGATGAAATACAAATCCCACAACCTTGTGCCCTACTGGTAAATTTATTACCGACTTTAATTTTCCCCTCTCGCTATATACGTCAACAGCGCGGTCTTTGTTTGACGATAGCATTATGTCATTTTCATTAGAAATACTCAATGAGTACCTGGGCAACTGACCTAAAATTAAACCGCGTTCAAACTTGAATTTCAAGTGTCCAGAATTGTCACAAACATGTACATAGGGATCATCGTTTTTAATCATGATGATGTCATTGTTGTTGTTGATCGCTAATTTCATTCCACTACCTGTTGCCTTCACAAAATTCAATGTATAACGGTGTTTTACATTATATGTATCATCCAATACATTCAAAACGTAACTTTTCACATCGCCATTTTCCCCGCGCGTTTCAAGACACTTAACAATATAAACGTTGTTATTGTTGTCAACAGCAAGTCCTTTAATATAACGCTCGATAACTTTGTCTTCTGTGGGATCAGATAATGTAACTAACTTGCTTTCTCCTGTTTTGGAAACAACTTTTAAGTCTACCTCAGACCTTACAGCAACGATGTCGCCGTGGCCATTCAAAGCCGAATGGCACGGACGTATGTTCTCATCGAGTAACAGATCGTTCCGCGGTTGCATTGGTCCTTCGACCCAGGATTTTCTTGTCGAAACTTCTTGCCAATTTAAAATTGGATTAAAACGGCGACCAGCAAGGTCTATCACCCCAGGCCAAATTACTTTGGTTGTACGTTTACGGCCGAATTTGAAATGAAATTGATATAAAGCATAGTTGATCATCATGACAGATTTCACGTTGTCCAGTCTTTCTGCTTTATTTAGCCTCGACTTGATTCCGCCAGTGATATACACGGAGAATATTTCACGGATAGCTGGTAGGCTATGTAGATCTTGAAGAAACGTTTCACACCCTGTCATTGCAATTTCGGGACTTTCGAGACATTCCAGTATCTCGGAACAAACACGTAATTTCGCGGCGAAGATTCGATCTTTAATACTTAAGGCTTCATTAAAGAATGCATGAGTTGCTGTCTTACGCGCTTCTTCGAATCTTTTCTTCGCAGATTGAAACTCTTTATCCGATTGGGTTTTTAACTTTCCTACGGCGCGAGAGGGTTCTAAGGTTTGGTTTAAGATACACTCAGCACCGTCAAGCATTGTTGATGTTTCATCATGATTATCTTGAGTTTCTTTGTGCTCGTCGTCGTTTGAATTGTCAAGAGAGGCATTAAGTAAATTCACACCTTCTTTTAGAAAGCCGTAGCTGCTGAGTAGGTCTTTGCGAGAAAGACCATCAAGCTTGGACTTGATGTCGTTTAACTCTCGCACGACTATCTCGCGAATTTTCTCGTCTGTAGTATCTCCGTCTTTAAGCTTATATGCAGCTGTGTCCCGCGCCTTATTCCATAGTAAGCCCACTGTACAGCTTAAAATACTTGTTACAATGGAAGCCATATTCGAATAACATAACGATCCTGCATGGAACTACAGAAGATACAGAGAAGGTAGATTTGTAATTGTATCCAAACGTATTCGTTCCAACGATCCTACTTGCAATTACTGAAGATACAGAGTTCTACATAAGATTCAAAGAAGTTACATGTATTTGTATCCAAACCCATTCGTTCTAGAAATAATATTTTTATCCGAAATGATGTAATATTTTGGCTGGGTTGTTCCTGTCACATGACTGCATAGTCAGATTACAGTATATAATAGATAAAATTTTGGCTCTCAAAATAATTTTCTGATGAAACCCCGTGTCCCGAACAGCCAACCGACATAGTTTGCTTATGATGTTTATAATATGTTTTTGTCTTCAACAAAACCTCTGCCTACACAGGCAGTGTCAAAAATAAGAAATCTTCGGATTGAGTGGGATGCAACTATCTGAAAATCATGTTTTTGTCTGCCTTCCAAGTGCATGCGTTAATGTCTATGGTATGTTCTTCCTCCCACTTGAGTGAATGTGTTTCAGCATGTATAGATTGAAGAAATGAAAAAGAATCTTTTTTCAATTGCGAATTATTCCCATGAGAACAAGGAAACGTGTGCACTCGAGATCATGGCACAAAGGCTCACTCAACGCCTACAGTTTCCTGCGAAAACAAAAACAATCGAGAGGAATGGACTGGAAAAGCTATTGATTTGTGCGGTACTATCCCTGATACACTTACTAATCACACTAACTGTTGAGTACTTACCAAACTGTGGTGGAAAGCGTCGCAAAATCAATCCTGTATTTCGAAAGCAAATGTTTCTTCTTTTTAAATATCATAAAGACTAGCTGATTCGTGTTCGGCCCCATTTGAGTCAAGCGAGTCATTGAGCCCAAAAGAATTTTCGTGAAAAGTTTCAAAGAAAGAAAACAGATACTGGTTGGGGTACAATTGTGAGATAGACTATAAATTTGGAGTTATTGTGTTACTGTTTATGAGATTTGATTTTTCTAAAATTGCAACGGAGAATGTTGGGAATCGCTTTTCTAAGGCTTGTTTCAGACGGCGCTCTCTTCATGTGTCGCATCCTGTCCCACCTCCCTTCGAATCTTTAAAAAGTCGTGTTTTTAGGATACAAGTTAACAGCACGCTACCGCGGCAAATTTTGGCCTCTATAATCGATTTCCGCTGTTTCTAGTATCCTAGGCTACAAACGTCCGATAGTTTTGGGCAAGCGAACATGTACTTTCGATTTGTAAGGCGCTAAGAATGCATGAGTCACGAATCGTTTAATTTCAACGGTTTTATTTTTAAAAGGCAAATTTTATGGTAGCAGCTCAGTTGTGGATCGATGAAAGGCTCTGACTAATTAGATCAGTTATCGATAAAATTATAAATACAATATTGCTTATCTTACAAAGGCCATAAATCGCTCGAATGTTGTTACTAACATGCACGAGCGCTTCTAGCCTGCCTTCCAGTGCCTTTTCTTCTTTTTCCCGCGAGTCACAAAAAAGCCAAATAGGCCTCCACGGAGGAGAGTGGGTGCAGGTGCTCTCTTGAGCTTTTTTGCTTTGGGAGCAGAGGGTGGTCTGGGTGAAGGAGATGGTGTGTTGGAGTCGGATGGTGTGGGTGAAGAGGGTGGTGTGTTGGAATCTGATGGTGTGGGTGAAGGGGGTTGTGTGTTGGAGTCGGATGGTGTGGGTGAAGGGGGTAATGTGTTGGAGTCGGATGGTGTGGATGTGGGTGGAACTGGTTTGTCGGTCTTTGTTAGTGTGGGTGCAGATAATGATCTCTTTAATTTTGTTGATATGAATGCCTCAGCAACTCTTTCTGTTTGTGTAGATATGGTTGTAGTTAATCCCGTTTGGTCATCTTCCAATTTTGAACATGGCTCAGAAAAGGTGTCTTTATCACCATGACATATCTTATCCCAAAAGAAGTAAACCAACCTTGCATGGAACGCCAATCTGAAACCAAGGAATATAACACTAAGCCCCTTCATAGATTCGTATGGAAACCGTCCTTCGATCACCGGTACGACATCGTATGCTACATCAAGCGTGACAGCGAGCAGTTTGCAGGTTGCTTCGATGAAGTACATAACAAGAGCAATCCAGTAAAATAAGAAAAGGGTAATTTCAGCCACACGCTGACGACAAACTTCAGGAGGACAATTTTGATGTGGACAATTTACAAGAGGAAAATTTGCCGGACGACAATTGTCTGATTTCCATCGCAATTGTGGTGTATAATTTAAACGCCAGACTACTAAAAACATTACAATTGGCCAAACCAACAGGAAGAATAATGTTAATCCGGTGAATCGTTTACTAACAATTTGAAAAACGTAATATATTAATGTTAGCAGGAATAATACGAAAAAGGAGATAAACGAGGCATTCCTCCAGGCGCTGCATACTTTCTCACCTAGAAAGTTCACCAACTTGAGATTGTTAGCAATATGAAAGATAATTAGAAAAAGAATGGAAGATATAACTGAAATAATTATCCACGCGGAGATCCAAAATTCTGGATGCGGTACAATTCCATCTTGATGACAATCGATAACTGAAGCGTGTTGTTCAAGAATCATACACTTCGTGTCGTAAGTGGTAAAAACGATAAATGAAAGGAAACGGAAAATGACCAAAATGCCGAAGAGCCCCTGAAAATAAACACAATCTGTCTTTATACTTTTGAAATGCAGATATTAGCCATACATGCATCATAGAATATTTTTTCAGACCATCAACTTGAAAGTGGAGTGTAGAATGGCCGTTATTGGCTGTTGCAATTGGCGTCACAGCACGTATTTATTGACTTCCGCCATATTGAGTGGCAAATTAAAAATAGTTTGTTTAAAAGCAAACATGGCGTCAAAGCAAAACTGTGGCACTGACTGCGGCTCTTGCTTTTGTTTGAGCACTTTGAAGACTTATAACGGTCCACAGCTGTGCAGTATTCGGTTGACTAAAATATCTTTGCCACCCAAAATGGCAGATTATTTCTGATGATGCTTCATGCTGCAAGACCTTAATATATGTGTAATATACTTTCTATACGAACTAAATATAGCTACACTTGTCTTGACTAGTGCGAGGGGCTATTTATACTATTTACCTCCTAAATTACAATTTATGGTAAAAGATTAGTATCACACCATGGTAATGATGGCTCACAGGCAATATGGCCGATTCAAGTCTTATTATCTCGTGTTTAAAGATAATTTCCACTTCGTTCTGCGCATCAGTTCTACTCATAACAAAGGGGACCCCCAGATAAAAACATTGCCTAAATTTTGCATCTTTCGAACTTTTTTTAATTGAAATGTAGAGTTCATATTCATTTACAAGTATAGCATACCAGAAAAGTGTTAGATATTCAGCTAGTATATCATATTTTACAAATATAGCAGTTCAAAAGGGTAGCCTCGCAGTAGCTTGGAAGAGTGGTTTTCATTGGCTCGATATGACAATTGCTTTTGTGTTTATAACAATGAATTGCTTCGTTTTTTAGAAAACCCCCATCCAGTTGGAGACGACCTTCCGAGGCACTGCGAGGTTTCCCGTTCAAAATGTAAACAAAGTTCGCGCATGCGCACAGGAGTGGACATCGTGTTTAAAATTATCTAAAACTCGTTAGAAGAGTAGATTTGGGAAGCTATATCTTTTATAAACTTGATAGTATAACAATTTTAAACACGTAACGATTTGATTCTCAAGGAATGTACCAAAAAAGTATTTTTATCGTTATTTGTTGAATTTGGGTATGATAAAAACAATAACAAAAACCGAGATACCATGGTGTGACACTAATTAATCCTTGAAGGGTAATATACTTAGCTTACTACAGGGTGTCTCCAAAAAACGAAAACTATTGAAATCACCAATAACAATTTAATTGTTAGAATTTGAATGCCTTAGCACTCTGTTGGTTCCCACGAGTGCATAAATGATTGACATCAAGTAAAATGACAAGTAAAATTTATGCATAAAGAAACTGTTAAAGGAGCTGTTTAAAATTCCCAAGAACAGAAAATCGCGCACTTTACAAGGAAATGTTCTTAACTAAATTTTAATACATACATATTCAAATTTTAACAATATATGATTTCAATAGTTTTCGGGCCAAAAAACCCAAAACTATTGAAATAACGTATTGTTATAGAATTTGAATGCCCTAGCACTAAGCTAAACGCAAAGATGCGTAAAATATTGACAGGGCGCATATATTATAAATGTTGACTTATTAAGAAATTAAAATATCTTTGTAAAGCGCACGTTTTGTGCACTTGGGAATATAAAGCGCTTCTTAAGGTGGCTCGATATAGTTATCACAATAACCCTGCTCAAGAATCGCGAACTCAAAACCAGGTAACCATTTTTACGCGCGGGTCGCGGAAACTGATTAACAAAATGAAAGAACTTCCAAAATGACCTGACTTGAGCAGTTGCTTGCGCCATATCACGCCATTGCATTGCGTGTGTTCTATAGCGTTTTATGACAATTGCTGACGTCATTAGAATTTTCCATTTTAGAAAAACAATGCGCTATATCTCTTTATTTTGTCTGGTGACCTATGTTCAAATTTTGCATGCTCTATTGCACCGCTAAAAACTTTCATTATACAAAAAATAAAAAAATTCTGTAATGCCAAAAAAATGTTATTGAAGAATATGACATTTTCGCATTTTCCAAAAAAATGGCATTACAGAATTTTTTTATATTTTGCTAATTGTTAGCTTTTCGTCCAAGTAAATAATGCACGAAAAAAAATTGGGGGTCACCATGCTTTTTTCCAACTATACGAGACGATAGGCCATTTTGGAGTGAATTTCGTACACGTATGTCGTCATAGCAACAAACTATCTGTTACTAAAACTAATATAATTTGAAAGTAAAGTTATCAAAATATATTAAAAAAAAAATATCTGTTGAATAAATCCTAAAAATACGTAGTTTGAACATGTCAAAGTGTTAAACACCTGAATTTTCGAAAACTGTATCGAGCCACCTTAAACAGTTTCTTTATGCACAAAATTTACTTATGCCAAGCTTTGTGCTGATCAGGCATTCAAATTCTAACCGCAATACCTCTCTCCTCCGCAGAGGCTTTTAAAGAATATGAAATTCGAAGGAATTGAAATTGCGCTAGACTGACTGGTATCTGTTGTCTTCATACCAGATACCTTCTAGCGCAATTTCAATTCCTTCGAATTCATATTCTTTAAAAGCCTCTGCGGAGGAGAGAGTCGCAATACGTTATTTCAATAGTTTTGGGTTGCTTGGAACACCTTGTATGTTACAATCTGAAAACCTTGTACAACATGTAGGATTGACAGCAACATAACCAGTCATTCTGACCATACAGCCAATCAAGTTATATGGTCTGGAAACTCTCCGACAGTCTTTGTACTATCTTTTTCTCGATGTTTATGCAAACTTGTGGAGACAATATATTGTTTCGGAAAAATCAATCAATCATCAAATGGCATAATCTCGTCGGATCACTCAACCGTATTGCCGAGATAATCATAACGAAGATTTCAATTTGAGACTCTGATTGACTCTGAATTTGTCGAGTCAAGATCATCTGCTTTCCAGACCATCCTGATTGACTATATGTTTGAAGCAAATTGAATTCATGTAAACACTGCTCTGATGGATCGTGAAAGGTGAATGGACTATGTGTACTAAACAAAAATACGTACCACAATTCCATAATATAATATGCATGATCGGTTGCTCAGTTCAATACATTCCTTGCCATTCCATTCCTTGCCAATACATTTGTTCAGCCGTTTCATGTCCTTTACTTTGTTCAATGACTTCAATCTCATTGTCTTTGCTTTCCCTTAACGGTTCTGATGGATGTAATAAACCTGGCTTGTCACTTTGTTCAGTGTCTCTGCCTCGATTTTGAATCAAAGAATCGTTGTCCTGAGAATCAATATCCTCAGCAGCAGACTTGGCCATGTACTTTGTTACTCTTTGAAGTATAAATTCCCTCCTTTTATCACTCCATTTTCGAAAACTTTTGGTTATCTTTTAAAAATCTATGTTCACAGAGCATATGCAATATTTTACCGGTGAAAATAGTCCGTGTGTTGTGACCCGATATCGTTCACTTTCATTAAGCATGTCTTAGAACTGAAATATTTTTACGGGAACTAACACTTTTGAACACGCTGAGTTCAAATCCGAAAAGTTCCCACTCCGTAGACCCGCAGTTTTTTC